GAAAGCACAGGAACGGAGTTCCGGCTGGCTCCCGATTTGGCCACGCCCAGCAGGAACTCATTAGCATAACAGGCCACACCCAACCACAGAAACTCATTAGGATTGGCTACATTAGGGGTGTGTGGCCTAACATGCAAAGGAGTCCCTGCTACAAAAAAGGGCCCTGGGTTTGGACAACAAACAAGGTAAACAGAATAAGAAGGGAAAGGTGGGTGTGGCTGGATGACCACACTTCTGGTAACATGGGGTGTGTGGCCTAATATACAAATGAGCTGTATTGTCATGGGTGCGGCCTAATATGCTAATGAGTTTCTGCTGTTGGGTGTGGCCTGTTATGCTAATGAGTTCCTGCTGGGCTTCTACAAAAAGAGCCCTGGTAGCCACCAGTGCCCATCGAGGCCAAGGGGCCAGGGTCATGCCAGGGTTTAGTCCACGCCGGTTCCTCCTCCGTTACACCTTACAGGCCCAGCAGTAATAACTGTCGGATGGCAGTGTGTGTAGTACAGCCAGGAGATCCTAAGATTGTCCGGCAGACCGAAGTTCTCGCTGTTTTCACGTTATGCACCACCAGGCGGCAAGCTTAGACTTGTTTCTGAGGCAAGAGACGTTTCAGAGGTGGCTTGCCACTGCCTACCTCCGTGTCACCACCCTGGTGTTCCTTGGTGGTCCCCGATACAAGGACTATCCAGGGCCAGACCCCGCGTAGCTTCTGAGATCTGACGCTATCGGGCTAGCCTGGGCCATTCGGGTCAGGGCACGGATCCAACAGTAGCCAACAACAGTGGTGTTGGCTGTTGTGGGTTGTGTCATCAGCGTGACAGGCATTGATACTAGAGGAGCCATATCCGGGGAAGAGATGTGTCTTGGTTCTGCTTCCGGAAAGAGACACACAAAGCCACCTTTACACTTGATTGGCGAGTCCCTCAACTGATTCCAGCGCCCTCTGTCCCAATTAGCAATGTGCGTTGAGGGACGCAGAACAGACAGAGCCAACCCAGCCTATCGATCAGGAGTCCCCAACCAACATGGTCCCCGTGGGCACCAATGTTCCCTCTAAGCTGTGGAGTCTTGTGAGCAAAAATTCTACTTTGTGAGCTACTGGCATTAAAGTTGTGAGCGAGCGATTTGGCTGCTGCATCAATCAGTTTGCTCTGGAGCCCCATCCTTCCTGAGCTAAGACAAAAATCTGTGAGCTGGAAGCTAAAAAACTGTGAGCTAGCTCACACTAACTCAGCTTAGAGGGAACACTGGTGGGCACCATACCTGGCGCCCGCCAAGTGTTTCCAGAAAGTGGATGAAAGCGAGTGGGGCTCGTGCCCAGCGCACCTTCGGGTAGGCCACTGACATAAGAACATAAGAACATCAGAGACGCCAATGTTGGATCAGGCCAAAGGTCCATCCAGTCCAACACTCTGTGTCACACAGTGGCCAGAAATACCAGGTGCCGTCAGGAGGTCCACCAGTGGGGCCAGGACACGAGAAGCCCTCCCACTGTTGGCCCCCCCAAGCACCAAAAAGACAGAGCATCACCTGCCCCGGAGTCCCTATGTATACCTTGTGGCTAATAGCCACTGATGGACCTCTGCTCCATATGCTTATCTAATTCCCTTTTGAAGCCGTCCATGCTTGTAGCCGCCACCACTTCCTGTGGCAGTGAATTCCATGTGTTAATCACTCTTTGGGTGAAGAAGGACTTCCTTTTATCTGATCTCACAGGCAGTGCAGATTAAAATATTGTCCCTTTGGCGGCAGCTGGGCACCAGGATTGGTTTTATTCCGCCCCTCGCCCGTCTTTCCCAGTGCATTTTTAGAATTGAATTGACCTCTCTTCTCTTCCCCGAGCTTGGGCTTCCTCTGAGATTGTGTGCGGCTCTCCCTCTTAAGGCGCCCGTATTGTGGTTTCGCCCGCCAGCCCGTGCCAGAATCCCGTCTTCTCCCTGACCCGTAACGCTTCTCCTGTTCCCCGTTTGCCCGCTGCAGAGAGGAGAAGATGACGGCCGCCCGCATCAGGAAATGCCACAAGTGCACCACCGGCCTGATCAAGTCCGAAGGCTGCAACCGCATGTCGTGCCGCTGCGGGGCCCAAATGTGCTACCTCTGCCGCGCCGCCATTAACGGGTACGACCACTTCTGCCAGCACCCCCGCTCCCCGGGAGCCCCCTGCCAAGACTGCGCCAAGTGCTCGCTCTGGACTGACCCCACGGTAGGTGGCTCTTGTCGATATGTGTCAGACTCCCAAGCTCTGTGGATTTGGTTCCGGGTTCAGTTTGCGCTGAAAGCGGCGGGGTCCTTCAGCACCCCGCGTGGGACGCTTTCGCTGGCACCGTGCTGTCGGCTCCATGCTCTGGCCATCTGTTGGGTGTACTTACATGTAACAGTACACAAGACAGTACATTGCTCAGTGTGCGAATATACAGTGAATTCAAAAAACGTTGTACAGTAAAGTACTCATCAAGTCCTACGGTGAAATTCTCAACGGAGGTTCCGGATATGAGCTTCGTTTCGATCGTCTTCTTCAGAAGCCCATGTATACCGTTCAAGTTTTCATTCATTTATATCAGGAATCAGTTTTGTATCTTCTGTCAATTTTCAAAGGGTTCAATATCGTTCCATAAAATCTGCAAGAAAGTTACAATAATTTTCAAATGGGCAACCAGTCGCAATCTTCAGACAAGCGACTCTGTGACATTACTAAGCTGGTACTGCTGAATTCATTGTATATTTGCGCATTGAGCAATGTACTGTATTGTGTACTGTTACACATAAATACGTTATCTTTCATTTAACAAAATGGACATATTGTCATTTCTAGCGTCTACCTTTCACCATTTCTATTCTGGTTGTCATTATTTTATTTTATTATTTTATTGGTTTAATTTATACCCCACCCTCCCTGCGAGCGGGCTCTGTGGGGTCTTCCTTTTTTGTCTGTTGGATGTGTCAGCCAAGGGAGGCTGTTTGCCGGTTAAAGGATGATTGATTTAGTTTAATTGATTGATGAATGAGACGGGCAGATCGTCGAACTATTTTGCACCTCACCAGGCATGGTGCATTTTTTTGGGGAGATGTTGCAGGAAGCGTCAGAGAACTCGCTGTTTCGAGCTAAGACGCGGCGTCCTTCTGTATTTTGTACATATTTTTAAAGGCTGTTTATGTATAAATGACTCAGAAATAGAACCGAGGGCATCTTTATCTGTTTGGCCCACCAGTTAACCGTTTGGACTCACTGATTAAAATTGGTGCTTGCGCATTAATCAAATAAAGCGGCGGCTTTTTGACGTCCCTGTCTTCAGGGAGCCCTTTCTGTGTTAATTGGTCTTCCAAGAAACTCCTGAGAGGCATAAAGGAGTCTGGGAACAGTTCTTGGGCGCACATAGGTTGGTGGCCTTACCGCTCCCCCCCCCCACACAGACACGTGACATGAACCTACGGCTTGCACACGCGGGAAGTCAGCCTTTTTAGATATTGTACCGAGAAGTAAATGTTCCAATCTCCTCCAGGTAGCAAGCAGAACTTGCTTCTAAGCAGGGCTATTTTTGGGCAGGAACGCACAGGAACGGAGTTCCGGCTGGCTCCCGAGTTGGCCACGCCCAGCAGGAACTCATTAGCATAATAGGCCACACCCAACAGCAGAAACTCATTAGGATTGGCTAC